CAAAAAATTGATCAGATCACACTTTAAATGCTACAGTATTATCTGTTCCAAAAAATTTTAAAGATAGCTAGTAAACCTAACCTTCTGAAAAAGCTAAGATTATCAGAAAAGTAACGTATATTGGCTTTGTGAATCGAAGCCAGGTAGGAAATCAATTAGTGTTACCTGGCTTTAGATGATCTTATCGTTATTAAGAAAGATCATTTAAAGTTCGTGTTATACAAGATTGCTTTCCGTACTACCTGTAGCTACACCGGCCCCCGTCACAACACCGGTATCAATATCCTTATTTGATTTCGTAACATCGTTATTGTCTACTGCGTCATCTTGTATTAATTGTCTTTCGAGATGTTCGTATCCACCAAACTTGTAGATAATTTTCGCCACTATCCATGTAAGAACAAATAGTACAATAATTAAATAACCAATTGTACCAAAATTATCTCCAAGGTATGCAAAAAAATCCCAAAAAGGACCTTTAAGTTCTAATTTATCTCCGATAATGTTGAGGAGTTCTATTAATCCAACTATAAATGCTATTAAAACTGAAAGCAATGTGATAATAAAATTATAATAAAGTTTTCTAACTGGGGATATAAATGCCCAAGTATAAGTGCCTAACATTAGAATTCCGTCGGCTGTATCGATTAATGCCATTCCTGATGTAAAAAGCAATGGAAAAAACATTATCATCCAAATTGGAAGTCCTTCGTTGGCTTGAAATGCTGCAATTCCCAATAATCCTACTTCAGTAGATGTGTCAAAGCCAAATCCAAAGAGAACTCCAAGAGGATACATTTTCCAGCTTGAATCAATGAATTTGAATAACGGTGCAAATATTCTACCAACGCATCCATATGTATTTAAAACTGTATCAATGTTTTCTTCTTCAAAAACACCGGTACGTTTTAATTTTTGGAGCGAACGATAGACTGAAATTAACACAAATGTATTTATTATTCCAATGACAAATAAAAATGTGGCAGAAACAAATGTTCCTATTAATCCCCCTATTAATTTAAAGTCTCCAAATTTTTCTTTTACTGCCGTGGCTGTTATAGCAATAGCAATGGATGCACATATCACAATTGTAGAATGCCCAAGAGAAAAAAAGAGTCCAACTGAAACTGAATATTTGCCATATTGTATAAGTTTACGAGTTACATTATCAATTGCTGCTAAATGGTCCGCATCTACGGCATGTCGAAGCCCTAAAGTATACGCTAAAGCCGCTGTACCTATAAGTGATGGGTAATTTCGAAATGCAAATGCTGTAGCAATCCATGCTGCGATATTTATAAGAACTAAAGCTGAAAGTATAATAATTATTTTGCGTTTTACAATTGTACTATTAGGTTTTTGCAATAGAGATGCCCTTGGCGATAATTCAACTTGTGAAGTATAAGGCATTGTGGATACGTCTTTAATCTAAATTCCTTTAAATTTAAATATAAAAATTTGATGATCTTGATTCAATTTAAAGCAATTTTATTATTGACATGCAATGTGTTACAAGAAAGCTAAATCATATGTGTATATTATGCTTGTTCAACTCTTAACTTTAATACTAATTATGTACTTTAATTTAGGGTTGTTGGTGCAAGTGATGCACCACTGCTGCACCATTAAGTTATCATATAAATTTAAAGCATTGCACCAGTGGCGACGCCACTTGCACCAGCAACCCTGCATGATTCGTGTACGTATACGTACTGTATATCTTAAATTTTTAATTTATAAGGCTTGAAATTTTTATTCAATTTTTTAAAAAGACTATATAAATTGTTTTTGATATATACAGTATAATAATATATGCTGTATATTTTTTTATTAAAGTTTGTTACGTATTCGGATTATTGGTCGTCTCATTAAGCATGATACACCAACTTGATACATTTGAATTAAAATGTAATTACACAAAATTTTACA